TTGTTTATTTTCCTTTCTAGTTAGTTCACGCTAACCAAACGAAGCTTAAAGGAATTCCTCATGCTGGGACATTATTCTCAGATATCCTTATTTCAGGGATCACAGTACTATTGCGGAAAAAGTTGTCTCAATATCCCATTTTGTAAATAAAGCAAAAAATAATATACATATATATATATATATACGCTACGCAATAACAATTAAACTACAGGGGGTTGTAGATTATTTAGTTGCACATATTGTGTGCTCCAAAATAGAACATTTAAAAACTATTTAGTCATGTCCACAAAAATCATTCAGTAAATGAGAGAGGAGTTCCAAAAAATCATGAATATTTTCAGTTCCTATCATTGTCAAATAATAATCCAGGGAGTCATTTTTAAATGCTATGGAATTATATATTTATCATTTAATAGGAGAAATAAAGCTATATTGTATGAAACAGAGTGTTGGGCATTAAAAGACACAAGAACAACACATCCATGTAGTGGAAATGAGGATGCTACGTTAGATGATAAGAGAAACTAGAAAAGATAATGAAGTAATCAACGTGTGAGGGGAACATTAATTATAGTTCCTATAAATGATAAAATTAGAGAAAGAAGACTTCGGTGGTATGGCCATATTCATCGTAGACCCCATGATGCATGAGTTAGAAGAGTAAGAATTGTTTGCCTAGAAGGTAAACGACAAAGAGCCAACCAAAAATTACATAGGAGGAAGTGATTAAAAACGATTTTAAAAAATTTAATCAAAGAGAAGACATGGTATATAATAGAAAATAATGAGAAAAGGAATTTATGTGGCCGACCCCATTCACATGGGATAAAGGCAAGGATGATGATGATAGAAGAAATAAAGCCAAACCTGGAGTAAAGGGCATAGTAGCCGCCTTATAAACTCCTTTCCGGAAGTATACATCGATGAAGTTTAGCCCAATGGCTTTGTTTTTCACTCGGATCTCCCCATCCTTTGGCTCACCTATTTCCACATCCTCCCACTGTAGAACCTGTCATCATTTTGACTTTGTAATGAGTAAAAGTGTTTCACCAACATAAATGGGTGCTTAGAAACTAATTTCAACCTAATCATAAAATAAATGAGAAAATCAACTCAACAAAGTCTTTGGATTCAGCTACTCAGAAATAAATGATACAAAAACTAAGTTTGGTGCGTTATTTACGGACCATTAAAGTGAAATCAAATGAACCAAGAATTCCAGAAAAATAGCAATGAATAAGATGTAATTCATCCTCTGTACAGAATGTAAAATAGGAAGGGATAAAGCTCCTTCAATGATGATGATAATAACCAATTGTAGCTAATCATTTGTGCTAGTCAAAGGCAAGAACCACGAGTTATATGCACAGTCTATATTCTATAACCATGTGATTCAATTGAAAATTGCCTCCAAAAAAAAAACCCACATAAAAAAAATAAAAATAAAAATAAATAAATAAAAACCACATAAGCATCTAGCTAGCGTTCCTATTTGACACCGGGATCCGTTCTCTCTCTTTTGACTTGCCCCGGACTTACTAACTTGTCCTATCTGACGAAGCCCCTGATACGCTTCTTGTTTTATAGTCCCTACGCCCCCTTATACATCGATCGAAGGGGCAAGGCTCCTTCCCGGCCCCTATCTTCCTCTCTTTCTTATATAAAGACTGAAAATTGGAATACAATAAGTAAATATATCGATCTCTGAAACCAATATTCAAACAGTAATCATACAATACAGCAGCAAACCCAATTGAAGTATGATTGAAAAGAAACACTTGATGTAATAATCCTTTCAAAAGAATACTAACATGAGCTCATATGAATTCACCATCTGAAGAGATCATCAAAAATAAAGGCAAATACTGTAATTAAAGTGGAAAAAATTAGAAGATGGAATTGGGCAGGTAGATGATTACAAGAACCAATTTCGGATGATCCCAATTAGCACCGACAAGAATGGGTAGTTAACATCTGATCAAATAACAAAACACATACATTTATGTGACATCAATAGCATTCTCTCTCTCTCACACACACAGAGAGGTACCTCTGGACCACCAAGTTGATGAACCCTAATGGCTTTGACCATTGTGGCGGCTGATGATGATGTAGAAAATGCTCTCACGGATGATTTGTTTATGAGAGTGGATAGTAAGTGAAGGCTTTTGTAATGATTGTTATTGATATTACTATTGCTCTCTCTTTGTAGTTGAAGAACTGGTGGTCTTGTCCTGCAATCGCCAGCACATGAGAGAAATGGGTTGGGTAGTGGTGATAGACGGTGGTGATGCTGATGATGGAATCTTAGCCTTGATAAACTCATTTTAGTCAAATTATACTCTCTTTGTTTTTTTTTTGTCTTGATAATGAGTAATTGAATAGGGGCGGCAGAGAGCCAAGTGTACCGGGGGAGCTTCTCCTTTGTAACACCAAGGGATTGGGATCACATGCACTCGGCTTGGAATCAATTTTTTTTTGGCACCAGGAACTCCCCTAGTTATGGCTCCTTCAAGACTCATTTTAAACTACAAACCTAAAAATGTTGTCAATGGTCTCACACCTCAGCGCGCTCGAACCTAGGACATTTGACACCCGAGGTCGTTGTCTTACCAATTCTACCAAGCCCCGTGGGGTAAGAAATCAATTTTTTTGAGGTTTAGAAAGAGAATTGGAATAATAATTGGAATTAAAATGAAATTTTATTTATATATTTGGAACTAGTTAGTAGGGGTGTTCAAAAAATTCGATAAACCGAAAAATCAGATCGGACCGTACTAAATTGGGCAATTTGGGCTAGTTGTATAGCGATTTGATTCGGTCCTGGGCTCAAAATTATAGAACCGTAATTTTTCGGTTCAGTCCTGATTTAGGGTAGTCCTGGACCGGACTAACCCGAACTGAACCATTATTGTGTTATATATATATATATATATACATATCATAAACCTAAATCAAGTAAAGTTATCACGTGCCTCCTTATTTTCTTTTGTTCTTTAAATTTCTTTTTAAAAAAGTCAAATTTTCCTTTTCCAATATATCTCAATTTTCTTTCCTTTATTTCTTCTTAAAAATTCTTTTTTTCCCGTGTTATATAATGTTAGTTGATTTTTTTAAAAAAACAACTTTGTCCCCCTCTAAATTAAAATAAAATAAAAAAGAAATCAATTGAAACCGACCAATCGGACCGAACTGTTATGCATGGTTTGGTCCCAACTAGTTAGTAAATTTGTGAATGATAGGCCAATTATTTGTAGAGGAAATATAATTGGATGCCCTATGTCTTCCTCTCTTAAAATTTTGGGTGCCTTGGGCCCAAACCCAAATTCCAAACTTGGTTTATTTAAAATCCAATTAGTTTCATCATATTTTCAATGTGGAACAAACATTTCCCATATTTTGCATACCCATTTAAGCTTATCAAATATCTTATTTTGGAGTTAATTTTTCATTCGCCCTAAAACGGATTTAAGAAAGTAAATATATCACGTTCATCTCCTTGTAGAGAAGAATGCGTTCGTCTATAGATCCGCAAAAAATTCGTAACAGAACATACTCAAAATTTCATTCAAAGTTTCTATTTTGTATATCCGGTTTTCAACACTAAGAACATAGAATTTGAGTGCAACATAGAAGATGATGCAAAATTCTTTCAAATGTACTACTTTATATTTATATTCATTATTACTTCAAATTAAATTAAATTAAATATTATAAATTAACAAAATGCATGGTTCATTTGTGCAGGTTCATGATGCAGTTGCAAGTCAAATAATTAAATATCAATGATTCCTTGTATTGTAAAAAATTACTATTAACTTAATTATTTAGCCAATTTTATTTGAAGTTCATTTGTTGTATTAAATGTTGGTATGCAATTTTATTGTTATTATTAGTATTTTATATTTTTATGATTATTTCATCACGTGCATTTACATAGTTAAATAAAAAAATACCATCATTAATGAGATAGAGGTCCATTAAAAATTTAAATAAAAAATTAATTGACATCCAGATGATATGATCTATATTTCCCTCGAGTGTATGAAGCTGTCGGAGGCAGTATTGTGGGTAATAAGCATGTGCATGAGCCTGCTATAGACAATATTGTGGTATCATTTACTGAACTTTAAAAAATAAAAATGCAAAAAAAAAGGGAGAGAGAAGTAAACCTAGCTAACCAACTAAATAAAGGAAAAATTACCAGCTAAACTTATTTTGCACCTTAAAAGACAATCAACAAACAATCGTATTATTGAGATATATTTAAATAAGTTCAAATTTAAACTTTTTTCAGTATTACCCTTATTATTAAAATGCTAATATATTAAATTATTAATCATCTCTTCTCTTCACACACACATATATTATCCAGGGAATAGAGCAATATGTCGGAGTGAGAAAGAGTGCGATGTTGCTCTGAGAGAGTGAAAAATAAGAGAGTAGATAATTCTAGGGTTAACTTCAGTTTAGAGACAAAGTTTAGAGAGAGAAATGTGTTTGCACACAGAGAGACAGAGAGAGAGAGAGAGAGAGAGAGAGTTTTGAGGGGAGTATTTGGTTAGATAGATAGTATGTAAAACATAACCCTTGAACGAGGGGGGAGATTGATGTTTGTCAGAAAAAGTAAAAGGTTTACTGAATTTTTACAAATGTAAAAGGTCTCCTTGAAGATTGGACAAAGTACGGAGAGTGTAACTGAAGTTAACCCATAATTCTACTAGTTCAATTGCTTCTTTCACTAAGCTTGCAATTCTGCTCATGAATAATCAGTGTGTCAAAATGGATCAAAGTCGATCAATTCAAACACCTTTGGATTCAGCTTGATGGTCTGAACCAAACCTGATTGAGCTACTGTGGCTAAAGAATGAATTGACCTCTAAAGAGTATCGAGGCAAAAATAAATAAATAATCTAAAAATTTAATGTCACAGTTTATTAACAGCCATTTCGGCCACATTTCAAACAAAATTTCATTTACACATATGTATAATATATGAATTATACACACAAAATGGCAACTTTTTATTAAAGTTTGTTAAATTTTGTTTAGTTAAAATGGTAACTTTAGGCATGAATGGAGTGTAGTTCCTAGAACTTTCAAACATAACTGCACAAAAACTGAAAAAAAAAGTGGGCCTGCTAGTAACAAATTATCAGATCATTTCAAAAAGAAAAAACATATCACTGAACAAATGGATGTGTGATGGATAGCAATAGTACACACACAACAATTCATGATTACAATCCACCATTTTTGAGTGGAGGCGGCCAAGAGAGTCTCCTGTGGCTCATGCCATCAACCTGATGAGAGTCGCCTACTTCGCTTTTTACATCTTCCACTTCTTGCCGTTCCATTTCTTGCCTTCCGATGCTTCTAATGGCTAAATCATCAAAGCTTGATTTATTTCTCCAAGGTGGTGGAGTCATATATTCAGAATCCCCTACCGTTCTTTGAGAAGGATTCTTGGCTGGAGTTGCAGGCAAGGAGGAAGAGGAATGAGCTACTCTCAAGTTTTGAAGTGTCGAAAATGACTCTCTCATTGCAGACATTGCTTCAAAAAACCGAGTACAAGATGCTAACGCAACAGGAATTGGGCGCAGCATTTCCTACATGTAATAGATTCTTACTCAGTATCAAAAATATAAGATCATAACATTATGCCCTCACCAAGTGTAACTAACAAGGAAATGAATAAACCCCATCATCTTTAGCACGTCATTCCAAATAAATTGTTTTATAGCTTTCAAATATTCTCTATAATTTTGTGAAATAATAACATTTTATTTCTGGAGTAAAAACAAAAAAAGAAAAAAGAGAAAAATAAATAAATAAAGAAACCACACACTGGTTTTCATCCAGATATTTATTAAAGCCACGGTGAAAGTCATGACCACAAAGGAAAGTGATATTTTCAGAAACCTCACTAGGCACGAAATATTTAACATTTAACTTTTTTTAACAATTTTTTTATTATTATTTTTATTTTTATATCATCTTCATAACATTCCAGCTATTACCTAATTATCTTCAGTGTACACTAAAAAAACTCAGAAGGTTGAGTAATATTATATTATATATAAACAGGGCAACAGACCTATAAGTGAGCTGAAAAAATGCTGTAAGAGCTTGGAGGAGAATATTATTGTATACCCATTCTAAACTTATCGCAAGAGATGTCAGGTTTCCTGTAAACATACCCCCCACACCGAAGGTGGTTCCTTGAAGTTGACACTCCACTGAAAATCTGAAACACATGCTGTCAGCGCACTGTAATCACTTGCAGCCTTCATCAGCAATTCTGAAAATTGTTTCTGTATAAACGCAGAACATGTCATACATATTAGGAATGTAATATTTTCAAATGATAAAAGCCTAAAAAACCACTAAAATTTTGCAGTGTGTCTTTACTTTCAACTAAATTCATAAATTTTGACGATTAGCATTGGTATTGATTCTATTGAAGTTTTGATTTACAATTTGAGTTTAAAAATCAACAAATCTACATGTTCAGAGTGAAATTATCAACTTTAGTTCTACGGCATATTTCTTTCTTCTTTTATAGTGAAAAATTAGAAAAGTGAGAAAATGTTTATCGTAAAGTGGAAATACAGGGAAGATCAGATATTCATCAAATTATTTAAAAATTAGCAAATGGTGGACAAAGCTGTTACTGTAAGATTTTGCTCAATTAAAGCCTTACAATAGGAATCACCTGATCAAAATAGACTTGCATGCCATGTACATTCTATGGTAAAACTTCAAGAAGTTACAACAAACTATACAAAACCATGGAAAACGTATAGGCAGAAGCAGTGGGTTCTCAAATCTAAACAACCAATGTAATACTTGAGACAAATTAGAGAAACAACACAAAATTTTATTTCTCTAGTTTTCAGAATGAGTCCATACTTAGATTCAACTTGCCGAATGCATTACTTACCAAAAAAGAATGAAGATATTTTTTTCATGCATCAACTTAATAATAGGATAATATTATCTTTGTACTATGAGAGCAAACCAACCTCTCTGATCACTGATCCAGATTGTGGACTTTAAATTCTATTCAAACCCTGATCATGGGATTAAAATCCATCCAAAAGAGCTACATATGCCACCTTTACGTCACCTAGTATTTCATGTCCTCTTTTACTTGGACCAAAAAATCAATTGCCAAAACAAAGACTAAGACCAAACCTCAAACGCAGCGTAATGATATTGTGTGAGCGAGAACACATCTCAGGAACATTCCTACTCTAATATTTGATTGAATCAGAAAATTCTACCATAAAGTAACCTATTCTTTCCACTAGGGGGGAAAAAAGGCACCAAGCATGGATGAATCAAATGAGTTAAGTTTCAGAGCTGAACTAATATCACCACATATACAAATATTTATTTACATGGTAAAATATTTAAAAGAAAAAAGAAAATCGCCTAAATATAATATGACAATCTATAAGATCTGATATGTAAACAACCTGATATTCTGCTTCCACAGGAATGCAGTCTAATGAATATGGTTGCTGAAGACGAGCAATGATGCGGTCCTGCAAAAATAAAAATCGAACAGGTTGGAGAAGTATGTCATACAAACTAATTTGAGTCATTTTATTTGTCTTACGAAAAACAATGAGTAAAGAAAAACTCAAGAAAGTATATTTAAAATCAGGAGGAAGTTTGACAGGGCAGTTAAAAGAGTTCATCTTTAGAGGTTTCAACTTGCAAGAGTAGTGATGTTAAAATATTGAATTCCCCAAGTACTTTAGTGTTCTTTCTAATAGTTTATTTGAGTTGAATAGAAGTCTTTTCTTTAGTTGCAATCCAGCATGTCAGTGACTTAGCAACTTACGTCCCACTTGGTTACAGCATTGAGTGGGTAGTTTTGAAAGTTTACCTGTGCCTTCGGGACAACTAGAATCTATTAAAGCAAGGCAAATCACTGTAAAACAAGATCAAATTTGAATAAATGGTCAATTTTTTATATGGATTGAGTGTAGAACTCTTCTACAAGTATGGTGTGCATGTCAAACAAGCACTGTGGAGTGTGGACCAGGTTGCCTTCCTCTCTATTTCTATCGTGTTTGCTAAATTATTTTTTCCTCAAATTTCAGTACCAGGAAAAACTGAACCAAAAGTTCCTAATACATTCCTTTCACAAACCCTAACCCTATGCCCCATGTTTTGATTATTTCATCTACCACTTTTTCCTAGTGGTTTAGTCCTAGAAACTAAAGAATCTAGGTTGTATTGCATCACTTAGATATAATAGCGAAGAAATCCTAATCATAATTGACTGTTTGTATTGTAAATTGTCCTTATTTTATTTTAAAATCATCGGATTTTCCAATAACGACATTTTTTGTTCAGTTGCCATTTTAAGGAAGAGTTTCATGGGATTGAAAGATACATCCATAATCTAGGAGGCATGTTGATACTTCTAGAGTTGAGAATTGAGATGCGACACTTGTTTGAAGGAAATTAGTCAATACAAGTATTCAATAAATCGTAAATCACCAAAGTGTGTGAGTACTTGCTCCCACACACAAAATAAAATTTTAAAAATCAAATCAATTCCAAGCCAGACTACTCCAGACCCTCTCGTTCTTCCCATGAACAACAAAAAGTTCATTAAGTTGAAGAGAAAGACTCAAGTTCTGAAAAGTATGGTGAAGGAACGTCTAGAGGTACTTAATTGGAAAAGACCATAAACTCATTATTTCTTCGATTCTGACAAAATTTGGATAGCAAGATAATGATATGATTGGGATTAGCAGAGTAATTTAAAGTAAATTGTGCTGATGAGCGCCTCAAATTTTCTTACGGGGTCAATCAAAATAAATAACATTCATTTTTTATTGTATATAGAATTTACAAGATCCACTTTACAAAAGTCTCCTGAAGAACAAAATTATGAAGGCTAGTAGAACTCATTATAGGTATTGCACCAACATCAAATAACATAACTAATCTACAATGAACCTGAGATTCTAAAGGAGCTGTGATGACCGGGATTTCCTATTCCCTTTCCTTTCATTTTCCTTCATATGCATTCATATTTACGTGGTGTGGAGAGGTGCTTTGAGGACATGTTTGGTATTTACTCATTTGATGGGGGACTTATGTCTTATGTGTACATATACGTAGATATTTATCTTATGGCATATGTGTGTGCATAAAAATATATATATATATTCTTTTCCTACATGGTATACTTGTAGTTGCACTTAGAGTAAGGGAGTAAGGGGTATATTAGTCTTTAGTACATAAAAGTGGAGGAGGAGGGGGGGGGGGGGGGGGGGGGGGGGGGGGGGGTTAGTTTGGTTAGAGAGCAGATTTCTGCTCTCTTTTTCTGGCCGCAGGTTCTTCTTCCCCTTTTCTTTTCATTTTCACTTTTCTATCTAGTTTTCTAATGCCTATATCATCACCTTCCACTTGGATTTTGGAGGAGCCATAGTTGGAGAAGTTGGAGAGCTCGACAAGAGGAGTATTCCTACAGTTTTAGCTTTCCATTTGGTGTATTTCTACTTTGCTGGAAATTCTGGTTTTGTTTATACTTGAGGTAGGGGGTTTGTTATACCTTTAATCTATGGTTCTTTGAATTTTATGAGCATGAGGGTGTGTGAAGCATGCTTGTGTGAGTTTATATTATGATAAAATAGATAGATTGAAGTGTGTGTATGTGATGACATGAAAGCTACATGGCTGCAATGATGTATTTTATGTTTAAGAATGTAAGACAAACATATTAGCATGATTATATGTTGTATCATTCTTCTTGTGGTACTCATGGTATGTTTGGTGTTGTGTTATTATGATAAATGTTGAGATATTTGTTGATTTAAATTATGGAAAGCATGCTAGTAGGTTTAATGCACACCAAGTGTTTGATGAAATGTCTAAGCGAGGTCCTCTATGTATATAAATTCTGTTTTGTACTGGAATTGATGCCGTTTGCATTGGAAGGCATGCCATGATAGTAGTGTGATACTAGGGCATGACTTGTGTAGAACATTACTCACTTACATGTTCTTGTGAAGTGTTTAAAGTGGCATATGGTATGTGTATTACCTTTTGGATTATTTGTGATTTTTGGGATATACTCGGGTTATTTAAGGAGAGAGGGCATGGCCCTCGGGGCTGGGCTGGAAATCCCCACAAATTGGCCAATTATGTCACCGGCGGGTTAGTAGCCCGGGAATGACAATTATGGCAAGGGGCTTAAGCACGTGTTCACGCAGGTGTGTGTGAGTCACGAGGTATCCCGGCTTGTTGATTTCAAACTCTATTTGTCAAGTTGATTATTTGGATTATAATTGCAACTTGTATTATTCTTATATTTCATCATTCTGTATATGCCTACTTGTGATGGAATAGGTTCATTTCCTTGTTGAAAGCATGTTCATGTATGCGCTAGTCTAGGGATATTGCCTATCATGTTCTAGAATGTAGACGTTAGGGAGCGTGACCCCTTTTGCATTTCCTAGCATACTTTTGTGTTTGTAGGGTCCAAAGAATGTAGCTTATTTGTATACCAATCTTTCCTACAGGGCATATTTGCTCACCCCTTTATTTTTCAGAAAAGGGACTTGCTTTGGAGGACACAACTCATCCTTACCTTGGTGTAGCTTGGTGAAGTTTTTGTACGTTCTTTAATGATATTCGATATGCTAGTTGTAGCCTTTTGTTAAACTTGAATCACATGTACAAGTGATGTACCTTTTTGTGACATGTGTATGTGTAATTTTAAAGAGGGAAATGGCTTAGAAACTCAATACCATCTTTTGGAGTTCCAGCGCTATTTCCACTCTTCTTCTTTTTTTCATTTCATATGTGCTGTAAAATGATGTAATGTGACCTGGTTGGCTATCTACCATGAGTATGCATGCTGTTGTGTAAGTTTCTTTTCAGTGTGATGGCTTAGCATTCATTCCAAAGTTGTACTCGTCATGTGTGGACTAGTTCAGGCTAATTGAACCTTCATGGTTAATCACAAAGAATTACCATATCATGTTTACTTCCGCGTTTGGAGCTAGGATTAGAGCCGGGTAATCTTTCCTTTCTCATGCACCAAGTTTCTAGAATTCGGGGCTTGACAGGAGCTGTAATGACCCGGTCTTTTTCCTTTTCCATTTTCGGCGATTTTCTTTTTTTGTCTTTTACCTATTTTGTCTTTTCCTTATTTCGTCTTTTAGTCGTTTTTCATTTTTCCTTGCACAACCTCACTTGTTGTGCTCGGATTTGATTCCGATTTTGTATGCATTCATGATATTTGATTTTCATGACGTTGGTATTTTTACTTTTCTTGAAAAGCATGCTAGATTAGTACTTTTCTTGTAAAGGGCATGAATGCATACTTTAGTGTAATTATTTATAACTTTTGGGGTTTTAGTGTAATTATGTAAAATAATTATTTTTCGTTTTGGGGACTTTTTTGCAATTTATTTTGGAAGATATTTTGAAAAAGGACTATTTTGCAATTTTTGGAAAGTGTGACAAGTGTCATACTCTCATGGAGCCATTTGTTGGCATTTAGGTGAAGAGACTTGGCACCATGACTTATTGACATTTGGTGGGGGGAGATTCATCCATGTGTTGGCCTTAGATTGGTGCACATGTAACCATTGATTTTTGACAAGTGTGGGTATAGGATTAAGTCTTGGAAGGGGCATTGGATTAGTGACAAGTGTAGGTTCACCATTTAGTCTTGCATTGTGTGTGTGAGAGAGGTAGTGCAAGAGCATATATAGTGAGTGGAGGATTTCTAGCCCTTCCACTCACCATTTTACACTTTACTTTCTTCACTTCATTATCTCTCATGAACCCTAGCAAATCCACCATTGGAGGAAAGCTTAGTTTATAGCTTCTTCCTTCAATTTGGCTCACTTCCTTTCACCTTAGAGTAAAAATCTTGGGAGAGAAAAGATTCCTCTCACTCTCCTCTTCAATAACCCTAAACTTTGTTTTCCATTTTGTGTTTGGTAGCTTAGATTATAGAGATTCAATTCTCTATTGAGGTAGGGGTGGTAGTATGTTTATATTCTAAGTGTTTTATAATCCTCGTGGTTTAATATATATTGTGTACATGCTTTTGATATGATAGTATTGCATATTATAGGAAACCCTCACTTCTTGACTTAGGTTTATTGATTTAAGCATGTATGATATGTGTAAACCATGTGTAGGAGGATTATATAATTTAGTAGCATGCTAAATTCTAGAAATTTCACATGTATTAGTGATGTGGGACACTTGTAGAATTATTGATGTTATATGCAATCTCTATTGATATGAATTGCTATATTTGTTGTTACAATAATTCTATGCCCTTATGAATTACTAATTGTAATTATTTAGGAGCTTATTACTATGATGTTGATAATTAGTATATAGAGCTTGTTATTGAGGCATGACTTGAATTGATAAATTTGTGATATTGTATTGTGCATAATATCATGATGCGAATTTATCATTTGGCATGCCATTCTAGATTTGGAACCCTAAGACATGGTTTGTATGGTTTCAAAATACTTGTGCATGGAAGGTGGTTTGTATGCCTTATTATATATATATATAAGTTTTGAACTTGATATATATTTTGGAATCTCTTAGGACATTGTTACATGTGACATGACTAAAGTTTGGCTTTAGTGCGGGAGGTATGAGTTCTCCCCAATAGAGATAGTGTGCACTAGGGTAGTCTTCCCAGTGGGTTAATGCCCGGAATAACCGTATTGTTCTTGGTTAAGTCCGAGACGTAATGTCCAAGTCTTCCATTACGTGTTTTTGCATTAAATTTCAAGTTGACAACCAATGCTTAATTGTAGCTTGAAATTCTTGTTATTGGCGAATTGATGTTGTTGAGTACATTGATAATTATTTGTGTTGCTAAAGAATCATTTAAGTTAGTTTAAGATGATCCCTTAGAACACCTCGAACATAGACGTTAAGTGGAATGATCCCTTGTATTCGTCTATATTGATCTTGCAATGATATTGAAACTTTAGGGTATACGCATATGCTTCTCCTACGAGTAACTTGATTACTCACCCTAGTGGTTTGGGTTGTTTTTCAAGTAAGGAGACCATGTTCATGGATGCTCATCATCCTTAGAAGCTTTTGAGCTATTTGAAGCATTTTTGTATATTAACATGCAAGTGTTTAGCATGACTTGACTTTTGATATCATATTTTGAATGCCATGGGTGTATGGTACTTTTGAAGCTTTAGTAGCTTTCTTGATATGTAATAACACTCAAATATTTGCATTTGACATTTTAGGTATGTATGTAATGAGGCCAAGGGCCAAACATGTCTATTTTTGTACTTAGACACCCTTGGTAACAAAGTTTTGCTTCAAATACCTCTTAATCAAATTTTGAGGTTTGACATGTGAAAATCTTGTAATTGATGTGTATAAGGCCATGGGCCATTAGTTTGCATTCAATTACTCATAACAAAGTTGTTGACATGTTCACATTCTCAAAACTTCATGAAAAATCAGTTCTACCTTAGCACCTTAGGCTCATAGCAGGTTCAACAGCAGGTTTTCGAGGTGTTTCGGTCGACCGAAACTCCATTTCGGTCGACCGATGGTTAATGGTTTGGTATTTGTACAGTAATTTCACATTCCAGTAGCCAAAAACACTGTTCAAGGGTCATTTCGGTTGACCGAACCTTTATTTCGGTTTACCGAAGCAATTGGAACCTTTTCTTCATGATTTCAGGTCTCAGCATCTTCATTTCGGTCGTCCGAAACTTCATTTCGGTCGACCGAAATAGCTAGAACCCGAGCCTTGCCTCTGTTGAGTTTCAGCACTGATCATCCGACTTCAACGGGTCATAACTTCTTCGTTTCTAATCCAAATGGGGTGATTCTTGAGCCTAAACTCAAGGATTTTGAGTCAGCTTTCCAATGGTACCAATTCCATTCTCAAATTCCAAACACAGTGGGAGTTGTGTATGTTTTAGTGAAACAGTGTCAGTTTTCACTTCAACCGGGACGGGGCATTTTGTGGGATTCTTAGCCAAAGTCTATGAAACCTCTTGGAATGTTTCAAAATGATTAGATTAGGTTGTATTAACCTTGTTTGACTTGTTTATAGTCAAGTTTCTCCTTTTAATAGTGAATTGACCATTTTGCCCCTTGGATAGCAAATTTTGTCCTTTTTGACCTTTGTTTCCGTTTTTGTCCTCTTTAAGTTCCTTGATCTCATGGAGGGTCACATTTGTGTTATGGGAGTGACTCCTATCTCTAGAGACCTTGGTTTACCTTTAGCTTCCGCAATTCGGATTCGTTATCGGATCACTTTCGGTTCATCATTGACGCACCGGGTTGAAAAACTTGGGCCGTCACAGGAGCCCCACTACCAATTGATAAATCTGCAGCGTGGCCAAATCTCCTGGTTAATAAATTTTTATTCTTGAATCCAAGGGGATAAAGCAGGTTAGTGTGCTTGTGTGTCAAAGGATGCATTATCAATGTGTGTGAATAAGAATGAAACATAAAAAAATTAAGATGAAGACATAGATTTCAATCCTGAGTGAATGAAATTTGTCAAGTCAATTAAAACTAAAAATTTGCTTAATTCAAGAATGCACTAATTGAGAAAATCAGAACCTAACAATTTACCTTGTTCTGAATAACATCTTTTAATATTGCAGTAATCCTTGCCAAAGTCTCGATCTTCTTTTCCATTTCACTCACATGAGTCAGATGTGCTACATTTCTATCCTCCTAAAGTGTCCACACATGCAAGTCAGTTAAACAAGTACCAAATACAAGAAGTTGAGTTAATCTAACACAGTTTTTGCTGCTGTGAGAACTTCCAAGTAAGTTTTAAGGCTCAAGTGCTCAGCTAAAGAGACAAAAATAGCTTATTGATATCGACATAAGGTGCATCCAACATATTTTACATTGTAATTCACTTTCAGCAGTAATAGAATTGACTCTCAATTATGCAGTAAAATTAAAACAAATAGCAAACGAAGTACGAAACCCAGAAAAGAGTAAAGTTAATTAAAGGATAGTTAAGGGAATAAAAATTAGAAGTAAGAAGCACGTACTTATAAAAAAAACAGATGAGTAATATCTAAGGTCCACTGCATTGACCATAAAGATATCCAGAATGCACTACACTTGTGCAAACATGCAGTAAGATGGAACCATCTTAAAAAAATCTTCCACATTTAAAGTTTATATGTTAAACCAAATCAAGGAGAATGCTTGTGGAACTGAAAACTTGACCAGCCATATCAGTTCAAAAGGAAATCCTTATGAACACAAAAGGCATGCACATACTTATGTTTTACTATTTGAAAAATAGCTCAGAGAGCATTCTAGACATAGAAAGCGTGCTGCATATATGTCTCTAAAGATTCTCCTTGCCAAATCGTAGATCAGATTACTTCCGCATCAAATAGAAGGCATGTAAAGGAATGAAACAGCATGTAACTATGAAAGAATTAGAAGAGGCAAGAGAAATAGATATTGACTGTCACCTTTCGACCTTGAAGTTCCACTTGCAAATCTGCTGTTTTTCTTTGTACAGTGGTTAGTTCTCTTAAAACCTTTATCAATTCATCACCCTTTTCACCAGTACTGGCAACTAAGTTTTGGAAGTCTTCCTGCACAAATGAAACAAGATCAACTAAAAGTTTCCAAGAATGTACATTATAGTTCACTAAATAATAATGTCACTGGCCCAAACACTTGGATGCTCAACATTTACCTGTTAAAAAAATATGCAACCACAACATTCAATAAATGATTTCAAAGAAACTATTTAGGCATCTTGACTACTCCAAATATGAGTAACAGTTCATATATCTCAAGTATTCATTCATATAAATAATGATACACCCACACATTCTGCAATATGGTAAAAGAGCAAGGTATACAGAAAGCCCAAGCTTCCTAGAGACAGGTCATCAGACAATATCTGAGATAAGATTCTCTTCCTCTCTAAGTCACTCTTTAAAACACATATCTTGATAAATTAATTCTTTGTTTGAAACACCAATCCACCAAAGGCACAAAGGGGGTATGTATAATTATGTATGCATAATGTACACACAGAAAAGAAACAAAAGAAAAGTACAAAAGAATACTGAGACCACCCATGCCTATACTCCCATCTCATAAAAATATTTTGACAAAAAAATCCAAATAAAAGAAAAGAACGACTCCCTATTCCAAAAACAAAGGGAGATCAAAATAATTTTTTGAACTTCAGACTAAAATGTTCCTCTCCTTCAAAAGGTTTGTCGATTCCACTGTCCAAATACATCGCAAGATACATAAAGACGCCACTACCTGCACCTTCCTCACTCCCAAGGACAACCCATCTCCATCCCTCCCATAGCTCAACCATATTAGGTGACACCCAATGATTCAGAATAAGTAAAAGAAATGCACCACAAACCCCTCACCATTGCACAATGTCTCAACAACTGATCCACTATTTGCTGTGTGTAACTAAACATACTGAACTCAACGAAGTGTTGTAAAGCTATTTGTAGTTTAAGTATGCACAAGGAGCCAGGCTCAGCCCACAAATTGGGAATCCAGACCTCAGCCCAGTGCACTTTGATTGGTCAACAGGCCAAGTCAGGGCCCAGCCTAAAACAAAAGTTAGAAACCCAAGCCCAGACCATGGGCCTTGAGATAACAGGCTATTGGCCTCTTAAGGGGCTGCTCTACGGCTTCAAACAGTTTTTTAAAATTTATCCTCTGTTCGTGCTACATCGGGCCGGGCTTGAATTTGAAGAAAAATAAAACAAAACAAAATGCTTTAACATAGAATGCAAATTGTATCCAGTTTGAATTCAGTTTGTGTTTGATATGGCGGTGTAATGGGTCCTTGGGGTTTAGATGAAGGTATATATACTACATACATATATATATATATATATATATATAATGGAATACGCTAATAACTTGGTATAATATAAGTATACAATAGAGGTACATAATATAATGTACTTAGTAATATAAGTAATTAAGGCCCAAAACCAAGATACATAATACAGTAATACATAACATAATATACTAATATATGCATATTATATATATATATATATATATATATATATTAAATATGTATAACATACTAATAGGGGGCAGGCGGGCAGGCCAACCTGAGTGGTGGGACCTAAGTCCAAGCCCTACCCAATCCTTTGAGGGCCTGACTAGGCTAGCCGGCCAGCAGGCTTGAGCTGGGCCTGAGAAGCATGGACACGGCCATGTCGACACGTCAAATTCCAAAAAAGTAAGACAAGTGCACTGCGTGGGCATGACTAATATAAATAGAAATTTGCATTTATATATCAATTGATTAAGACAGTTACAGAATTTTAATTAATTTATAATTTCTTTGCTAAAGTTGAATAAGTCAGAAGATGAAGCTATTCAAATCTCAAAAGAATATATCATATTATACATGAAATTGCTCTCCTATCTTGTCATTATAGTTATGCTTTTGTTGATTACATACTGTGACATGTGTTTAATGTCAATTTTTAAAGAAGAAGGGGTTGGACACTTTGATGTATGTTCATAATGTTGTTTCCAAGGCTATCATGTGTTTGTTTATATAACCAAAGATTGTAGGATGTGTTGGTCGAGTGCCAAGAATGCATTAACCAACTGTCCGAGATACGTGGTTCAAGTGTCCGAAAAAATAGAATTATTTACTAACAAGCCAGTGGCCTAGCAGTACCAGGCTTCTACTTCCCAAAGGGAGGTCAGGTGTTTGAGTCTTGGTAGAGGCATATGTATGTGAGTACCAACTAAGAAAGAAGAAAAAAAAATAGAATTATTCTAAAATTATAAACATGGCCATGAAGTTTTCGGACAAGTGTGCCGGAGTGTCCATGAAATGTTTGTGCCTGACACGAACATGACACCTTCATAGAAGTGGTAGAAGTGTCTGTGCTTCTTAGAGCTAGGCTTTAGGACTCAATTTTTATTTTATACACATATATATATATATACTTATTTGTAGTCCATTACATGAATCATTGTTCCTGAGTCCTTCTATTAAGGGTTATAATTTTATTCAAACTAGGTATTTCCACGAATCTCCCAACATCAATTAGGAAGAATTTTCCTTTGTGCACAGATTGATAGTTACAATCTTCTTCAATGGTACAAGTCCACCCCCATCAACCCAACCTAAAAAATAAATAAAATGAGGAGCCCTTTTCATTCACCAAATAGACCTTAAGGAAATTAGGGGTACCTAAACAACTTGGGAAGAATGAAGAGCCTAAGTTTCACGAGAAAGCCAAGCTAATGAAGATTATGGCATTACCAATCATTGTCCTTTTGTCTTGGGAAAAAACACTATGAAGATAGCCAACCATTATCACAAAAAATCTACTTGAGTGCACAAAGTGGGGCTTTGGAGGTGAGTAAAAGAGACCTCTCAATGGGGAAGAAGTTGTCCCTCTCTTGCCAAAAAAATCTGTTCTCTCACTAGCTGACCAAGGGAAGCTGAAAAAATGCTCCAAGAGTGGAACGATGACTTCCACCGTGCACCGAATAAAATCAAGAAGTATCTGTTTAATCCTCCCATTATAGTCCCACCACAGTCGGAATATCCTCTCATCATTTACCACTCAATCCTGGATTAAATAATGAGGTGTGTGTCTTGGGCTACCACAATGCCACTAGCTAAGAAGCACAGACACGGATACGGGATACAGATACGACACAACACCGACACGACGACACGGCAAATCCAAAAAAATTAGGATACAGACACGGCGAATAGTATCTATATATATATGATGTAGTACCTTAAAAATTATTGAGTGTTACTATTTTTCATCAACCTCACAATGAAAAAAAACACAAATCATAACTCATAACTAATGAACTACAAAAGAACAATGTTGCAGAGTTATAAAACCAAATAAAAAACAAGACATTAGAATAATAACTAGTATCATTTAATCATCATTGCAACTTTACTCCAAATACAAAAACATAGACAGAAAGGACTATTAGCATTCATGACTGTTTAACATTCAGGGCTTTACTGTTAGCACTTAACATTCACAAAAACCTGAAGGCTAGTCACCAAAAAAGATACAAAAACCAAGTCAATGTACTATCATCTATTCCCATCCATCATTTGACCTAGGACTTTTACCATTTACAATACCAAAATGGTAGTACAAAACAAAAAAAAAAAAAAAGAACATATCAGCATTCAAAAAAAAATATATTCCATAAGTGTCTGTGCCGTGTCCAAAAATTCAAAAAAAATAAAAAATTCCAGACATATTTTTTGGCGTGTCCGACACGTGTCGAGGTGTGTCCGACATGTTTTCGTATCCGACACGTGTCGGACATGGATTCTTCGCCCATTTTGGAGTGTCCGTGCTTCCTAGGGAAAGGAGGAGCATGCCATATATTACTTAAACAAATAATTTTATGAATATGAAGCAAAAAATTACTTCTTGAGAGAACTGCGACTTGCATGGGCTGCTCATAGGCTCTACACATTATGCTTCACTATGTACTTGGTGGCCCTCATGAATCCTCTCAAGTACATCTTTGGTCGTAACTCGTAACACCAACTAGATGATCGTGATCTAACAAATACAACAAGGAAAACAACTTCAACTTTAAACAAAAGGTTCTCATGTGAAGAGATAGGGGAACTCTCTCCCACTACTACTAAGATTACATTCACATAAGTTCTTATGACCTATAAGTTCTTAACAGTATAAAAAGAATTCAACTAAAAGATCATTTGTTATGTACAAAAATAGTTAAGCAGGAAAAATAAAACATAAAAAGAACAACCATAACTTTACACCAATGCTTATAAGATTTCCTCCAGTTGACAAAATTTAGCTAAAGCTAGAACTTAAAATTTCTAATACAAAGTTGTGGATTGAAAAAGCACTTACAAGTGTAGGAAAATAAACAGAACTTTATCACCACCTAAAGGTAAAATAATGAACTGAATAACATGGATCTGACGGTCTAACAGCATGTTTTCCTATGTTATTTTCAGTATTCTTGCTGACACATGTACCACACAATAAAATAATATGTCCTTTGCACTGTAAAGTTTACACTAGATGAATAGCTGCTCTCATTCACATAACAAATCGCAATCCAGAGGCAATCTAAGCCTAGAAGTATGTTATTCGTTAGCCAAAAAACAAACAAAAAAAAAGACTCTACAATGTATGCCTTAGCATGCCGAACAAAGTTTGATCTATATGAGCACACAGGTCAAGATGACTGGTCGATTCCCTATCTAACTATAAATGCAATCCCCAAGTCCCACATGCTCCAGTCAAATTCAATCCAAGAAAAAAAAAAAGGTGTAAGTATCCAATCCTACATTTGGATACTCTTAAGCATCGCAAAATTATCATATTAAATTTCCATTCGTTGAAATAGAATTTTTAAAAAATTCAAATTGAAGAACACAATCTACACAAGAATTGACAAAGGGAATCAAACTTGTTTATCCATAGAGCATAGAGCATAGAGCATAGGTCAAGATCAAACGGTCACAAAACAGCCTAAGATTGTGAAAGAGACAAACTTCGTCACTGAAATGTGGAGATTCGTTAGAGGATAGTAGTGGGATGAAAACAAGAACAATATAAAATTGTATATATAGAGAGAGAAAGAACCTGGGAAGGGGGAGGGGGGACTGAAAAGCCAAGATCAGCAGCGATGGAGAGGGCATCGGACATCCCTCCGAGGCGTCTCAGCGGCCTCTTTCCAACCCAAGTCATGTCGCTTCCCGTCCACATTGAGTGTGAATGACTTGAAAACCTAGACATTGATAGCAAAAGAAGACCCATCACACTAATCAATTGAATTTCACCAACGAAATGAAAAAAAGAAGTTACATTTTTTCACCAATGAAATAAAAAATAAAAAGTTACAATTTTCTTTTCAATTGAATTTCCTTTTCTCCTTGAGGACTCCATATTAATGGGTCTCCCTCTGTTTGGATTAGTAATTTGTGTGTTGTACAAAAGGGCAAAACAGAGAATGGAATTTGAACTGAATCGTGAGAGAGAAATGAGGTCGTACCTGATCGTACTTAGAGTGAGAGAGAGGGGAACGTTGGTGACAGAGTACCGGTGATGCGGAGAGAGAAGACTGAGATCGCTTCTGGGAGAGAGGGGAGTGAGAGATCGCTGCTTACAGGAGAGAGAAAAATGCTAAACAGATATACTGCTACAGTGAATTTTATTAAGAAAATAAAAAAAATAAATGAGCTGTGATCGAAGCCCAGCCAAACAAAACAAGCGCCCTAGATTGCATTAGTTAAGTCGATTATTTGATTTTATTATACAGATTATCTTCATTTGTGCATTTTTGTTTATTTTCAATTTCAGTGGCTTTAAAGAAGCAAGAATGATGTTTTTATTGAAATTTTGAATGCAAAGTGCTCAATGCTGAAGCTTGGCAACAGTGGAACTTAACTTTTGTCACCATTTTTGACCTAGCAAACTCAAGAACTGGACTTCCATCATAACATGACATATTTAGAACTTCGATTTAACTTTCAAAATCTTCAAACGGTTCGTCATTTGGAAATCGGAGCAAAAAGTTATGGCTGTTCTACCAAAGTTGTGCACAGCAGGTTAAGAGCAAGGAGCTCACTGGACTAACTTCGAGCGCTCGAAGTGCTAGTTCGAGCGCTCGAAGTCCTTAGTTCGAGCACTCGAACTCCGGGCAGCTTCCTATCCGAGAACCATCACTTCAGCCCACTTGCACCTTGTTTCTCTCATCTCTGATTTCCATCTTTATAGGTTGGTTGGAGATGTCTTTTAGTGGGTTTCTGTGCCTTGTTTGGTGGAGAAGATGCCTACACAAAGGAGGAGAACCACACAAACAAGAGATCATCTCACTTTTGGATCAGATTTTTGGAGAGAGAAAGAGGAGCAAGAAGAGAGTTCTTAGAGCAAAAGGAAGGGAGCTCGAAAATGGAGGAAAAGGGCAAGCTTCTTCCTTCATCTAGGGCCACCATGGGTAACTAAACCCTCTTCTAGGGAGGTGATGAAACTCCTCCTTGTAAGCATGTCTAGTTTTTGATTTATTTTGGGGAATGAAATGTGTATTTGACTAGTTCCATAATCTAGAGCATGTTACATAATGTAATGGATGTTTTAATGTTCTAAAGATCATGTTGCATTAAATACTCTTGTCTTAGATGATTTAATCTCATGGTTGTATGGCTTGTAGTTTCATAGTGACAATGGAGCTAAGACTATGGAATGGTTTTAATGGCATGATTTTGAGTAGCTTGTTAATTCATCGCTTAAGAATTTCTTTTGATGGATTAACCTTGTGACTTGTTATCATGTGCTCTCATCAATTGATTACTTGTTTGACAATCTCTAGCTTAGTGAGCATGTTGAGGATTGCACCATAGTTTAGGTAATTTAAGCATGTGGAGCTTTGATAGGTCGTTCTTTCATTTTAATTAATTGAATTTCTTGAAGATGTTATAGTAGTCATGAATTACTATTCATCAAGGTCATTTCTACATTAATTCCCCAAATCAATCATATAATTAGCTTGTGTAGAGGTTTGGAGTGGATTCACTTCCCTAGACTTCCTTCTCTAAATCTTCTCTTTTAATCTCCTTCAATTTATTGTTTTATGTATTCTGAATTTGTAGTTTAGTGACAAACAAAACAAACCCTCTATGAACACCCCTTATCACTCTAAAATGATTCTAGACACTTAGGTTGCCATAGATTAGCGCAGTCCCAGTGGTTCGACTTACCCGTCCAATAACCCTATTTTACAATGATTCGTGCTATTGCGAAGGTTGATGTTTAATTGACCAACCGATCAATTTTTGGCGCCGTTGCCGGGGACGGCAAACGGTTTAGCAACCAAAGTTTATGGTTAAATTTAGTTTGATTGTGCATATTGTGTTTTGTGCATATTTTTCGTGTGGTTTAACCATTTTCGTGTTGTAAGATTCTAGGGACTCGACTCCCGCCGTGGGAACGCTAGCAAAGTGTAAGTCTAGAGGACCCTAGGTAAGCTTCTTGACCTTTTAGTTTCGCATTGTTATATATTGTGCATGTGTTAAGCTTAGAAGTAGTTAATTTATTTGCAAGCCCTTGTTGAGGCTATATTATTGTTTTAATTTCGTGTTCAAGCATCGGTCCTTGTCGTGGCCATTTATTTTCTGTCGTGATAATTGAGGAGAAAGGGAACATCGTATGTGGAGTTGTGGATAATGAATTGCTTTGTTGATTATATGCTGTGCTGTTGATGTTCGGTCGTAGGTCACTCTCTCTACCCACAATCGATTCGCCCATTGATATCAATTCTCTTGAAAGAACTCTTAGAAGAAACCTTAAGGAATCTACTCTTATAAGGGATCTAGAAACTGAATTTAATACAATGGGAGATAATATAGGAAATCCGGGGAATGAAAGGGCTGAAATTCCTAATATCGAGCCAATGACTCTTAGAGATCATTTCATCCCTACCACCTATGCTTCTCCTTCTTGCATAGTAATGCCAAACATCGATGCAGCTCAATATGAGATCAAATCAAGCACTATCCAAATGCTTCCATCATTTCATGGCTTTGATAATGAAAATCCATATAAGCATCTTGATGAGTTCCTCGAAATCTGTTCGACCATCCGGTTGAGAGGTTTTCCAGACAATGCACTCCATCTCCATCTTTTCCCATTCTCCCTAAAGGATAGGGCAAAATATTGGTTGAACTCCCTCGCTCCCAATTCCATTACTTCTTGGGCTCAATTGCAACAAGAATTCCTTAAGAAGTATTATCCGGTGAGTAAAACCAACCAAATGAGGCGTTCCATTCTAAGCTTTTCTCAAATTGATGGAGAACAACTCCATGAGACTTGGGAAAGGCTACAAGATCTTCTTCGGAAATGTCCTCATCATTTGATCCCAAAATGGCAATTAGTGCAAGCTTTCTATGCCGGCTTGACCAAAACCCATAGATTCATGGTTGATTCTTCTTGTGGTGGGATGTTCATGTCCAAGAATGCGGATGAGGCTTGGACCCTACTTGAGAATTTAAGCGAAAATTCACTTCAACATAATTCTCGTAGGGCTCCGACCTCAACCATTGCAAAGAACACCAACCCTTGTCAACCAAAATCAATAAGGGAGGAATCATCTCAAGTGGATGCCATAGCTCATAAATTCTACCAATTGATGGCACCACATCTTCCTCCTTCATTGTCTCAAAATTCGGCAAGTTCGGTTTGTGCTTCATGTACTAGTCCATTCCATCTCTCGGAAGATTGCCCCACACCAGAGCAATTTCCCAATCCCAACCAAGAGCAAGCTAATGCCATGTTCTCAAGGCCCGGGCATAACCCGTATTCCAATACATATAATCCGGGTTGGAGAGACCATCCGAATTTTTCGTGGAGGCAACAAGCCCCACAAAATTCCCAATTTCAAAATCAAGGGCCTCAAAATCTACCCTCTTCTCAATATCAAGGTAGGCCTTTCCAAGCCTCTTCAAGCTACCGTCCTTCTTACAATCCAAATGTTTCCAATCAACCTCCTGTGTGTCCAACTGAAGAGATAGTAGTTGCAAACAAGCAAATGATGGAATCATTGAACAAGCAAATCATGGATTCCAATAAGCAACTCTTGACATCTTTGCAACCTACTCTCCAAATGGTTCACTCCTATACTCAATCCATAGCTAAGCTCGAAAATCAAGTAGGCCAAATAGCTAATTCGGTGAACCAATTGCTTCAAAAGGACAAGGGTAAGCTTCACGCTCAACCATTTGAAAATCCTAGAGGGATTCATGCAATTGACGAAACCCCTTCTCCGAGTGGGCCGAGTTTTGAGCATGTTCAAGCTATCACTACCCTTCGGAGTGGTAAAGTGGTCGACAACAAGGTCGATGGAGACAAAAGTGAGGAAGTTTCTCCTTTGAAAAATCCAAATCCAAGCTCTTCCAATCCAAATTCTTGTCCAAATACCATTCACGGAAATCCCACACATGTCACCCCAAATGTGAAAACTACTTATGAGCCAAAAGCTCCGTTTCCTCAACGTCTTCAAGAGTCGACACATTTTGGGAATAAGAATTGTAAAATTCAAGACATGTGGGAAGTTTTCAAGCAAGTGAAGATTAACTTGCCCCTCTTGGATGCTATCAAGCAAATCCCTCCCTATGCAAAATTTCTCAAAGATTTGTGCACTCAAAAGCGCACTTCTAAAAATCATTTGCCGAAAAAGGTGAGGTTGACCGAAAATGTTAGTGCTATCATTTAGCACAGCACTCCTTCGAAGTATAAGGATCCGGGTGCCCCCACAATCTCTTGCGTCATTGGTGACAGAAAAATCGAGAGGGCCCTCCTTGACTTAGGAACTAGTGTGAATTTAATTCCATATTCAGTCTACCTACAACTTGGTTTGGGAGATCTTAAGCCGACTTCCGTGGTTTTGCAACTTGCCGATAGATCGGTCAAGCATCCACGAGGTATTCTCGAGGACGTTATCATCAAAGTGGACAAATTCTACTTCCCGGTAAATTTTGTGGATCTTGATACGAAACCGATCCATGACCCAAAAAAACACATTCCCGTGATCCTTGGTAGGCCATTTTTAGCCACGGCTAATGCATCAATTAATTGCCGAACCGGGGTGATGGACATTGCTTTTGGAAACATGCAAGTCAAACTCCACATCTTTCATGCAACTCAACATCCCTCCAATGAGGATGATTGTTTTCTTGTGGATGTCACTGATGAAGTGGTCGAAGAATCTTTCCCCTTCATTCTAAGCAAAGATCCTCTTGAAACTTGCTTGTCCCATTTTGACTTCTCAAACTTTGATGTTGATCAAGCCATTCAAGAAGTCAATTCCTTGCTTGATATTAATGCTATCATGGATGTACCTCCTTGGAAAATTCCAAAAGAACCACTTCCCCAACTTTCCACTACTCCTCCGGTCCCATCATTGCTATCTCCGCCACAACTTGAGCTTAAGCCGCTCCCGACCCATCTCAAGTATGTATTCCTTGGTCCAAAGCAAACCCTTCCGGTCATCATTGCCTCGGACCTTCAAAAAGACCAAGAGACCAACCTTTTAGCGGTGCTCCAAGAGTATAAAGAAGCTATTGGTTGGACAGTGGCAGATTTGAAAGGAATTGACCACTCCATTTGTATGCACTGCATTCATATGGAGGATGACGCAAAGCCTACTAGAGAGGTCCA